AGTTCAAGAAAAGTTAAGTCAAAAGCCTTTAAAATCAACACTAGATGTACCAGTTTCTTGGTCTTTTCTGGCTCAAGCTAAGGACGTCTTTACATAGATGCATATTTAAGATGATTGAAGTAATAGATCCTTTTGAACTTCTATATGAAACATCCTGCTCTTTATTTCACAGACGAATCTGAAGACTTCGTTAACCACTAAATATTTTTTGTACTTCTGAAAATGTCAGAATTAGGGATGAAGGAGAAAATGGATCCAGTTTCCATTTAAAGGTGAACCTACTTGATCTACACTTTCCAGAACTATATGCCAACCATTCTTTGAAATTTGCACTTCTCTGAACTTTCATTGCTCTCCCCCAGCCAAGTAATGGTTTAAAAATACATATACTTGGATAGAGTGTGCATATAAAAGCATGCATTCATTAAGGTAACATACAAAATGCATTATGTTAGGACAAATTGCTTTGCAAAATTTTGTATATTAGGCAATATTGTATACAAAATGGTACATATTATGATAAATTCACACTAAAATACTGATGAATGTTCTTGAGTACTTGTTGGGGGGGGGCGTAACTGCAGACTGATGTGGAGAACTGAACTTCAGATTGGAAAAATTAGAAACCAAAACTGACACAGTTGCCCATCCCTAGTCATGATGCATTTCTGGGCAATTTAAATATGTTATATTGATAGGAAAAAAACCTCCGGTGTATAGTGAAATCCTAAGCTTATTTACCCAAAGGAAAGTTTATTTAAGATCAGTGGAACTTACCCACTGGTAAGCATGTTTAGGACTGCAGCCTTAAGTACCTTTTTAATAATAATAATAATAATAATAATAATAATACACATTTAATTACATGTTAAAATGCATATTTAAATGTGAATTGTATTTGCTTTTAAATTGCTGATTAACATGGAATGGAACAAAATTATGGGTGAAAGGATGGGAAAGTGTCATGGAGCAGAAATCAAGCTACCCTTTGCTATGTTCATTTGCTGTGTAGGAAGAAGTTCAATATTGTGCTGATGCTGGCTGCAATGGAATGAAAGTTTAAATGAGCAATTATGGGTTCAAAGATGTAATAGGCATGTGAACAATAGGTCCATGGCTAGTAACCAATAGAATGTACAATAATAACCAAAAACCTTTACAACATTGCAGTGCAGACTCAGTGTGTGATATCACATAAATAAGTTCTAAAACAACTGGCTGTGCTGACTAAATATGAATTTTAAAATGCTAGTTATACCACAACAATGGAATACAAAGGCATGATACCCCGAAATCTTTAAGAACAGCAGATGAAAGATGATTACAAATGATGTGTTTCAAATATCATTTTTATTGTATTTTTTAAATAAAAATTATCTGAGCCCATCAATAGGATGCGAAGGATGAAGGCAGTTTAAATCTAAACACCTTTGCCATGTGATTTGAAATGCATCTTTTGTAACCATCTTTCATCTTCTGGACGTCACAAACAGGATTCAGTTCTAAAACATTATTTTACAAACATCAATGGGTCCATTACAAAAGCTGTAGCTGGTGAGTGCTGGTGTCTACACGTAATGTGCCAGAGTGGCTGTGTGAATAGGCCCAAACACCCAGACAATGGAAGGAAATTGGCAAAAAATGAAGAGATTTCACACCGATAGTAAAATGACAAAATTCAGTGCTTGCCAATTGTTAGTCATTTGATACAGCTTCCAGGCCAAATACATATCCAAAAAACCCATGCCTGATATAGAAATGGAGCCATGGAAGACCGGCAGGAGGGCTTGTCAGCCTATTCTACTTCTCATGGATGCCATTCTAAAAATGTCACAGTGATATCCATTAAAAAACAACAACATTAAAAGAACAAAAATCAAACACCATTTTCTCAGCAATTATATGTTCGAAGATGTAATAAATGCAGCCATCTCAAAGCCGCGAGGATGCTAGCCTGGCACTGGGCAGCGTTCCATTGTTGCCTTTGTTAATGCAGTAATGAGGCATTGTAACACTGCCGCCAACCTGGCATTAGCAGTTACAATACATTTACTGCAAGAGCACTGCTGTTTGTAATTAGCTCTTCATTACACAATCAGGCTGATTTAGGAAAAACTCTCTTATGATTTGCTCAGCAAATGAAGCAATATAATTACACCTCACTTGAAATCAACAAATTAGGCTGCTGTTTGCAATTGGCTGTATTACCTACTATTACCACTCCGGCAATTGCAAGCCAGTTGCAGCCTTTAGCGTTTAAATAACAGAATCCTAATTAAAATACAGCATATACTACTGAAATTGCTAGGTGGGTTCCACAGAGGTCACAGGCGTTGCATTTAAAGAAGAAGTCAAGATTTATGCTTAAGGCATTCTGCATAATTTAGAGTCTCATCCCATCTGAACCTGAGTGATATGTGTAAAAAAAGGGGGGGAGTGGGTATAGGTTGGGGAGGAGAAACATGTTGGGTTTTCTCCCAGTGTGTACTACACATCTGGAAATTGAGCATTGGAAATCGTGCTAAAGATGAACACAATCTTGTCAATCAGTTACTTTGTTTTTAGCATTATTGTCATAAGAAGGCACCATTTTAAAAACACCCACACTGCAAGAGTAAAATAGAAATTAAAACCACAATTCCTTATATGCATTGCAAAATGTTTTACTGGGACACTTGGATCTAGTGTTCTTGTGAATGGAACTCCACTCACGGGACAGTGCTACTGGAGGAAGGTATGTGTGGGTTTTTGGGTGATTCCTTCTTTCCCCTGATGCCCTGAACTCCCTGGAAAGTTGGTCCTAATGGCTAAAGAATCTTTCTTGACAACATGAGAGGTGGGCCTGGGGACGGCAGAAGGAATGGGCAAATGACTCCTTCACACTTTCTCCAGCAGAAGTCTGTGCTGGATCTCAGCTCCTTCTAAGAACAAATGGAGCTTTTCCAATTGCAGAAGAACAATTCTGGATCAAACCCAGTTGCAGAGAAATAAATATTTTCATTTGATCAGATTGATGTAGAAAAAAAGTTTGTTCTTATTTACCGAGTTCAATGAGTTCTGAGGTCTATTGATTATTGCCTCCTACTGCAAACCCACAATAATCTAATTATTACAGCTCAGATTGCTAGAGCACAGAAACAGAAAAATGTTTGAAGTCCTCAAATTGAAGGCAGTGTAGATACAGTATGGACATTATATCTCACTCAGGTAGCATGGTTTAGAAAAAGCACAGAAGAGCAGTCATCACTGTTAGGATATATGTTTTATGTTGGACTTCATTTGTTAATATTTGGAACATTTTCAACAAAACTTAAGTACGGTAATAATGTATCACATTTCTGAAGTGTGTTAAAGAAAGAATACTTGAAATATGTCTCTGTATTGTTGTGGTATTCTAATATTAATGTTAATATTAATACCAGCACAGGGCAAAGCTGAATTGGATTAGGACTTTATTAAAATCAACTTTCTGAATATGGTTAGGAAAAATATTTTGGGGAAAAATACTGAATGAATTCCTATGCCCCACAAATAACCCAGAGATGCATTTTAAATAAAAGGACACATTCTACTCATGTAAAAACACGCTGATTCCCGGAATGTCCGCGGGCCGGATTTAGATGGCAATTGGGCCGCATCCAGCCCCCGGGCCTTAGTTTGCCTACCCATTATTACGGATAGCCTACAGAAGTAGAGGAGGCTCCCAGTTACAGAGGTTCCTTGCCTACACATAAAAACCAATGGTGGGGGGTTGGGGAGAGGACTACCAGACTGACGAGGGCTATAGCTTCTGCTAGTTTCACTAAAACACACTGGACAATCATTTGTAGTGGTTAGACTGACCCAAAAAATTTCATCCCTTTCCTAACACTAAGCGTAACACAATGCAAATGTAACAAAAATAAAATTTAGGGTGGACAGTATTTGTTGAATAGTTTAGTGTTTCTATCATATCCCAAGTGCAAACCAAAAGCTTCCCCCCATGTGTCAAGAGATAGAAAAGCATGCTGCTGTATGAAATCCCTGCTATTCCCTTCCCTTTATTATTGATGCCTTTTATGGTGTGCAGCAGGAGAATGAGATGAGTTTGCCTGCAAATGCTTTGTAAAGTCAGATACTGCCATCCACATGCTTGAATGTGCAGAGATGCTCCCTGGCGTGCAGCTAAGCATTGCTGTTCGGGGTTGTTTGTTTATCTTAAAATACCCTTTTTTATTTGTTTAAGTAAATTATATCTGAAAAATAAAGATAAGTGGTGGCAAAACAGGTGGCTGTATGGAAAGCGTGTTTTGTAAGACAACAATCTGATCCCTATCACATGAGAAAATACCAAACAGGGAAGCTAGGTGGCAGAATCCACACAAACAAATAATTGGCTTGCAGAGACAAAACCACACTATACGTTGAGACAAGTAATCAAAATTGCCTAATTTTAGAGATGTACAGCTTTCTAGGAACGAATTAGACCGTGAGATAAGCTGCTGCCTTCAACTATCTGTCCTGGATGGCAAGTCCATACTTTGCATAAAGATCCAGAAGCAGAATGAATTGAAGACTGGTGGTAATTCTCCAAGGGGAAAGTAATTTTCTTCCAAGATAAGAAATGCAAACCTGCAATGTTTACACAGCAAGGCTGTTTAATGCGGTTTGGGGAATGAACCAAATATCTGAGCTGGTTTCGAAAATAGGCTTAAGAAGCAAAAGTGCTGCTAGCCATTGACTTCTCCCGCCTACCCCACAACATATGTGTGCGCGCACACACATTTAAGGCTAGACATAATTACATTTTAATCATGGTTTGAAACCAGCTTTAAATCTAAGTTAGCATTAACTGCATTTACTGACCACATTTGGGTCATCATATCTTGGTTTAATAAGATGAAAGATGAACAAGTATTTTGCCTGCACATACAGCAGTTAAACCTGGAAACCTCTTAAAAAGCTATAGTTTTCCATTTTGTTCAAACTGAGAAGCTACCAACTTTGAAACAAGCCAATGATTTGTATGAACCTTGATTTTTCTGTCTTTTCCAAACTAGGAATCCAACTGAGATATTCAACAGCTGTTGAATACCTTAGTTGGATTCCTAGTTTGGAAAAGACAAAAAAATCATCGTTCATACAAATAGGCCTGAATATACAGACAACAGAACTGTTCATATGATGGCTTCTTAAGCCAAGATATAATTCAAAAGTGGCCAATGAGTGCACTGACATCATGCTTAATGGGAGGAGGAGGAAGAGGAGGATTTGTAACCCAGAAAGGACAGGCTGGGAGGTAGGAGTACATGATCTTGCTAACTCTTTCTCTCATATAATAATCTAACTCAAATATAATAATGAGATCCCCACAATTGCCACTGCACATTACCAAGTTTTGGTAAACTGTAAACCCATACAAGAAAAAGACTAAACTCTATAATTTGTCAAGAGTAGAGAGATGGGGGAGTGGGGAGAAACTCCAATAACAAACTAGTGTTAGAGAGAAAAATATAGTTCTCATCTCTATGCAGAATTTATCAGAAGCTTGCTTTTTACTGGTGTGTGTGTGTGTGTGTGTGTGTGTACACACACACACACACAAGTTCCAAGTACAGTGGACTCTCTGGATACGAGTGTAATTCGTTCCAGGGGTCCGCACATACCCCAAAAAATCCACAGGTTGAGGCGCCGCTTTTTTCACACGCTCACGGAGTGATAGAGCGCTTCTGCGCATGCACATCCAGTGAAACCCAGAATAATACACTTCTGGGTTTGCCCTGTTCACAACCCGAAAGTTACGTTACCCGAAGGTAACATAACCTGAGGGTCCACTGTATATAGGTAACCAACTTCTAAGTGGATGAAAATACAGAATCTAGAAGTGGAAGTTGCATCAGATTAGTCTTACAGTTCCTTTTGTAGAGCTTTAAAGTTTCAATGTCTTTGATTTCTTTGTTCACAGTCTGCAAGCATGTTCGTGACCTATAAGTCAAGTGTGAATCCCCCTCCCCACCAGATCAAGCTAGTGAGAGCTATAAAAACACTAATTAAAAGACCTGAAAATACTCAGACTATTTATCAGCACCAAGGGACCACTTTGCATCTATTATGTATCAAAAAAAAGGTCACACAGTCGATTTCACAAGGTTTTCCTGGACCAAGCCATCACTTAGTGTCCAGAAAGTCAAAGAAGGTCTTGGGGGTGGTAAAGGAAAGAGAAGTTAAAGTTCCATGGGGACTAGAAATGCATATAGGTACAATATAGGTAAAAATATTAGAATCAGGCTGCTTAATACAATGGCTGAAATTCTGAAGACAGACCACAGCACTTAAGCTCTCTCAAAGCAACAGGTTTAAGCCTGGCTTGAGGGCAATGCAATCCTCAAGTAATGACAATAGAATATTGAGAATGAAGCTGACTAAAGTGGAATTGGGTGACGTAGCAAACAGGGCAATGCTATGGTTCCGCTGCTATGGATGGACAAATCACTTTGGCATTTCTCTCTGTTTCTCATTTTTCCAATCCACATTTAGTATAATGCATTTTTAAAATGTTATCTTGACTAATATATGCATTTCTAGGCAGACTTTACCCTAGCATATGCCTGTTTGTATACATTACTTGGCTAGAGAACTGCACTGCAACAGTCAGAGACATGTGGATTTTGAAGAATGGGTGCGTTTCAGTTTGCACATTGTTTCAGAAAGTGAGAGTTAGGTAAGATGGCCTTTAAATTCAAGTGTGTTGGATTTCTGCCTCATCCCTATTTCCTACTCTGGGTAAACACTGCACCGGGGATAGCAGTAGCAGGACTGGCCCAGGACATTTTATTGTTTTTGGTTCAGAATGGAAGCATATTCCTTCCATTCCATCAAGAGAAGCCGTTTTGAATGGCAGCTGCATTTCATTCTGATATTAGTCATGGGACAGCAGCTTGCTCCACACCTGAGGACAGCACACTCTGATAGCACAGGTTGGTCAAGAGTGTGGCTGGGGAGGCTGCTGTTGCCCCCACCCTCCAGCACCTAGTTTTACTAGCATTGCATAAGCCCCTTTTAGATGCTAGATGAAGATGTGTGGGAGGGGCACTGTGTACTTGATGTGAAAGAGCAGAGTTACTGTGTAGGGGAGCTCTTTCAGATTGCATAATGAACACTGGAGATCAGGTACCATTCCCCCTCTACTACCATGTGCATTCATATTACACCTGGTTAGGGCTTAGGCCAAACTCTTAAGCACTTGCAGCAGCAGTAGCAACATTAAAACAACTGTTGAAACACCAAATTCAGCACCGCTATACATACTGACAGACATGCCTACAGCATCATTGCTAATCCTATAAGCTGTGCAGGTTGTAAGGCTGGGCCTACTCGATTTGCACTTACTTGCAAGTAATTGAAGAGGGGCACTTACTCTTATGAGCAAGGAACCCCAGTTCCTTCTTTACTACATGGGCACTGTGATATTCTAAGAATATCACTGTTCCCATGATAAGTCACACACTTCTATTCTATTATTGGAGCAGTTTAAGAACTGTTTTAAATGTGGATAAAAAAAAGAACTGTAAACACTGAGGCTTATCACCATATACAGCTCTAAAAAGAGAGGGAACCTGGTGCAATGTCACTTGCTTACTCAAAGCAAAGACCCAACTTCCATTTTCCTTTGGGTATTCCTTCTCTCTGGCACAAAAACTACCATATTTACTTAAGTAAAAGGGGAATGGACTATTTGCCCCAGCTAGAAGTCTAATTGCCTTTAACACTTTCTGATTTATTATACTGGTACATCAATAATCAAGTAGGATTGGAGTTAGTGTTGCCACAGTACTAATGGGGATGATACTTCCATTATTGTCTGTCTATACATAGCATTGAGCAAGATCAAGGCATTTGGAAACACCAATATGACTATCCAGTTGGAGTACTATATTATTAACATTAACACATGCTATATCTGAGTAAGAGATGAAGTGCTCATTATTCACTATTTATCCAGTGCTTTGGTGGTTTCAAGGCACCTTGTTTATATTAAAAACAATAAGGAGTCTTGTGGCATGTTAAACACTAGCACATTTATTATGGACCAGAGCCCACCCCATCTGCTACTTACATATATTTGCTTCACTGCCGAAATGTCGAGCTATTATAATGGGCTATGAGATAAAGTAACCAGAATCGTTTCAAGTGCTGAATAATAATCTGCTGGGAAGTCAAAAGATCTTATTATGGAGTCAAGAAAATAGTGCAGAAGTTGAAAATGTAGAACAAGCATCAAAGTATGTTAATCTTGCGGCCAAACTAAGGGCCTCTCCACAGAGATTTTCTTACTATTCTACTCATGTTATGTTAACAATCAGATAGTCTCCAGAGTCTTTAGAATATCTTGTGTAAAGCAACAGCACAATCTATTCAGGATGAGGCTTCTCAAGTGCACAATCTTATCAACTGGATGCAGAATACTCTAGCCAGCAAGATAATCTGAGTCAATCCAATGAAACAGATATTCTGCCTTCTTATAATGGGGTATGCTGTAATTGTAATTGAACTAGATTCTGCAGTTGAGACAGGCTAAAATTCTGGTCCATTAGTTGAGTATCAAATTTGTTTCCTGTGTGGAAAATCTAATAAAGTTGAACTATGAACAATGTCTCATACAGTGGTACCTTGGGTTAAGAACTTAATTCATTCCGGAGGTCCGTTCTTAACCTGAAACTGTTCTTAACCTGAGGTACCACTTTAGCTAATGGGGCCTCCCGCTGCTGCCACGCGATTTCTGTTCTGAAGCAAAGTTCTTAACCCGAGGTACTATTTCTGGGTTAGCGGAGTCTGTAACCTGAAGCATCTGTAACCCAAGGTACCACTGTACAACCAATCATAGTGTTTGAGATGAGCAAAATACATGACGTCCAAGTGAAGCTAGATGAATGATGTTAAAGAATCCATGGCTTGAGTCTGAAATTGTTTATTAAATATCACACGGTTTATATTCAGTGACTTCAAAGGTGCCCCCAGGACAGATACTCAAGGATTTTGTTCAGTCTGTATTTGCAAGCGAAGCAGCTAAATTCATACTTCCTGGACTAATACACTGATCATAACTCAGTTATTCTTTAGTTTTTGCACTTCTTTTTTTTTCCAATGTAGCTCTCTGGTTTTAGGTTTAAAAAACCTGTTTTATAGTAAAAATGCAAATCAGGAATTGCATTTTTTAAGAATAATATTTGTCCAAATGCAATCCAAGTTTTCAAAGCAGAGAATTTGGAAATGGTTCAGAATGGATTTATGAATGAACATGGAAATAAAATGATTCATTTATAAATGATCCATTTATCCCTACTCACCAGTCAGTCTTATTACCAGCTGAGTAGTCAAGAGGGATAAGGAGGAGAAGACTGAGATGAGGAGGTGTTGGAAGCTGAAGAGGTAACAGGGCTTAGTGAGAAGGGGAGAGTCTATGGCAGAGAAACGTCCTGAAGCAGAAGCTGGAGAGTGGGATGAGGGAAGCCCAGAGACAGAGATGAGTCAAGCTGGTGAAGAAGCAAGGGTGTCTCCACTCCCAGCTGTGGCAAGCTCCCCTCCCCAGGTCTCCCAGGACCAGGAGAGGCATGAAGCAGGAGAAGCAAAGGAAGGCATGATGGTGTAGTCTCAGAATGCTTGGGAAAGACCCAGGAGATTAGCAGACTTAGGCAGCTCTTCGAAGGCAGGGACCTTCAGTCTCCATAACTGCCTCATAGGGGCAAAACCTACTGAAGAAGAGTTGCTGTGCTCATTAGGTCCAGCACTCCTGAGAAGATCCTGTTTCTTCTAATAAGAGGTAACTTGACTTACTTGGTGTGATTTATTGCTGGCTCGCTCCTGACAATGGGCTGCCCTTAAAACAGGTCAGAAAATGTAGCAGACAGGATATTGGCAGAGAGGGCTGTGAGATCACATAAAACATCTCTTCTAAGGCAGCTACATTGATTGTGTATTAGCTCCTGGGCCCAATTACAGGTGCACATGTTAGTGTTGAAAGCCATAAATGATCTGGGCCCCAAATATCTGAAAGCAGGCCTTTTTCAAGGTTGCAGGTTTGATCCCTTTAGGGATAGCTGCATATTCCTGCACTGAAGGGGGTGGACTAGATGACCCTCAGGATCCC